ATTTTCTACCTTCCAGCATCGCCTTAAGGCGATGCTGAAAGGTCGAAAAATTTGCACGAGGTCGATAAAGCAGACTCTTCAGTGTCAGTTGTATCTCTGAATGAAGTAAATGAACTTCTTACAATATCTTCTGGTCTTTGCACTCAAACACGTGGAATGTCCTTATCTAATTTATTGAAGTGCCATCTCTTGGAAAATCCGGCACTTACTGCACTTAGACGCAATTTTTGCTGTTTTTACCTTAGCTTAAAGTACGAATTACCATAAATTGCAGTTGTAACAATATCTTTTTTTCTACGCTTTCAATCGTAGCTCAAAAGGTCTTGTATTATATTATTCGTTCCTGTAATCCGAAGGGAGGAGCTACTTATTTTGTAGATGTGAGCTACAGAACTTTTATACCAATGAAATGTTTACGTCAGGTGACAGTTGTACGATCCGAAAAAAGATAATTTTTTAATTTTTTGTCGTTTTTATGACAAATTCGTTGCTCGCCCCCTTATATTTTATGTCTATTTCAATCCTATAAAAGCGATTTCAATTCCGTTCAGTATTTTCGAAGTTATCGTTACAACTGCAATGTATCGGTAATTACGACCTTTCAGCCTTAACATATTTAAAAGTGTAAATTAGTTGAGGATTACGTTTGATTGTATTGTTCAATGAGAAATATGCACAGGGATGACGATAATCGTTTTGCGTAATTTTTTTAGACGCTGAATACGTTTATTAAATTACGTTTTGATTGTATTGTTTAACGAGAATTATGCAAAAGAATAAAAATAATCGTTTTCCGTGATTTTTTAAGACGCTGAATACGTTTATTAAATTGTTCTATCGCGTCACAATTTCGAGAAATTTGCGATTAAAAACGTTACTTTAATCTATATGTTTATAATATCTATATATAATATGTTTATAATATCTATATGTTTATAATATGTGATGTGTTGGAGAAGTTTTATTGCAATCAAAATTAAGTAAGTTATTAGCACTTTTAACTTTTGAAAGAAATCGTTGCTGTGTCGATTACGATTAAAAAAGTATTTATAATTACGGTTAAAGTTGCTACTTATATAGGCATATAATATATTATATAGTATATACTTATATGTATAGGCATATAATATATTATATTATATATAACATTAAAAGGATGTCAAAGTTAATAAATTCAGAATAGCAGAATCAATTCAGAAGCTACCCTCGTCTATGTGTTCGAAAAAAAATCATTTTTTGTTGAACAATATTATTGTAAGATCGTGGAGATGATAAAATACAATGAAACTATTGGATCCGCGCCGAAATTATTGGACAATAACCAAATGCTTTTGTTCAAAATAATGTATTTCGCGAAAATTAATCCGCAAATATTCGCAAAGAATCGCAAATATTATATCAGCAAAGCAGGTCTTATTATACATGGCTGTACGTTAAATAATGCGACGGATCGCATTTCCTGCATGTGGATTGCCATTTTCTTCAGCCTCTTCCTAGGAAGATGGCGTTTATTGGGCAACGGCGATCAAATGGAAATCGATCAGGTTTGCTCTTCAGCGTCTTTTCTTCTCGCGGGCTTCTCTTTACGGTCGATGGCACGATTGAGCCGTTATTCGGAAAGTTCACGAATATCTCAAAAAATTCGCATCTAAATCGCCCGATTAAATTTATTTTTATATAATGTGCCTGTGTTTATAAGAATAAAGAAGGATGTCAAAGACTGACGACAGTGTTATTGCAGATATAACAAATCATAAATGAAACTATAATTTAGATACGAACTCAAATCTTATTATCATAAACTATCCACACGAAGAAAATAACATACGTTTCGTCGAATAATTTATTCATCCTTGAGTGAATCTCGATCGGACCGATCGGCATTAAAAAATAATTGGAGCAATGATATTAGTTTTTAAATATCTTGTTTTATGATTCTTTTATCACAGAGATATAATTTCGTTAATATAAATTTATTAGTCTTTTTTTATTTTAAATCGTAAAGTTATCCAGTTTGTTTTAATATACAATTTATTTAAAAAGTCGCATATTTTTTAGATCCGAATCTCGTTCGCACGTTCAACGTTGTCGATGAAATTGGAACAATAATTTTAGCTCACGGGAAAAAAAAGTAATTGAACGATCGCTTGGCATAACGATAAGTTTCTGTTAGATTTATTACACTATTCCCTTTGCAAAAGTTTTCTTATTCTTTCCCGATACATTTGCGACTTCGTTTTTTAACCATATAGATTGTCAAATTTTATGCGTTTTTCTCCGACAACTTGATAACTTTTGGGAATATGTCGAAAAAGGTTAATAGGATAAAGAACTTTACTCTTGCCTATAGACGCCTATGCGATACCTTGATGATGTATTGTCAACGCTCGTTTGTGCAAAGATTTACATTTTGCAAGTCTCGCGCGCGTCGCTTGAAAAAACTCGCAATTTTCACGCTCGGAACGTGTGTTTTGTTCGAATTGCGAATTGGTTTCGAACACGTGCAAATTATATATTTCAAAACATAATTTTTTTTATTTTTTTTTTAACTGAAAAAAAGTAATTATTTCTGGTAGTTTTGTTTATACACTGAATACACACAATTTTGAGCTCCAAAAATTTTATGCTACAATATCAAGAAATAAATTAAATTAAGTTGAAGTTGTAAGAAAAATTCCATTTTAGTTCATTTTAATAATGAAAAACTATTGAAAATAACGAAGAATCTACATTTTTAATTGTTGATTAAAATTGAAAAATTTTTTAGGTAACCGAATGAGAGAATCTAATGTCAGAATAAACAAATCCAAAAAAAAAACAAAATTAATATTAATTTTTAGATTTTTTAGATATGAGTATTATATTAAAATTGACGGATGCAACATAACGAATGAATTATTCGGTAAATTATTTTATAATCTTCAAAAATTAAAATTATTTATACATATTTGCAAGGTAATAAAGTAATATATCACAAAAATTAATCATGATAATTTTATTGATTTTATTGATTTCTGTGCAACTTTATAATTTTAACAATATTCTGAATTTTATTTTAGAATAAAATATTCTTGTTATGTTATATACTGCAAATGTATACGTGGTAAATCATAATAATATCGAGTTACAATTGCAATTTAAATTTAAAATTTTACTCTGTAATTTTATTATATAATATTTATATTTATATATCCTGTAAACATATTATATGTTGTAAATGTGTACATGATAAATTATAATAATATTGAATTACAATTGCAGTTGTAACTCAATATTATTATGATTCATTATTTACACACTTGCAGTATATAAATTTAAATGTTGTATAATAAAATTACAGAGTAAAATTATAACACATTTCCGAGACCAGCATTATATTGATTATTAAAAATTACAACAAACGATTTTTTTTTTAATTTTTGTTCTTTTGCTTTTTTTTCTTTTCTCACGGCGTTGCGCGTTGTTTTATACATATATATTTTACTTACTTTCTATAGCATTAAAAAAATTTTTTAAGAACTTTTACATTGTACATATTTTTGTTTTAATTCTATTTATTGTTAGTGTAGTACAATCACATTGCATACATTTTTTCGCATTTAACTGTAAAAGGGTTTTCGAAGTTATGTTAAAATAAATATATTAAGATAATACGTACACTGTAAAATTACAGTGGGACCATTATTGTGGGTAATTTTGCGATCCACTATTAAAAGTATATATTTATATATTTATGTAAGTTGCAACTTATAAATAAAATTATTATTCTTTATAGTAAATTTGTAAAATTAAATTTACAATTGAATTTAAGTTTATACAAGTATTTATGTTATAATACCTCAATTTTTACTAATAGTTTTGAATTTATCGCAAATGAATCGCGAATGAATTACTATTTTTCTTAAACTTATCTACTTGAATGTAAATATAATAAATGTGATATTATCATTATGTTACATAATAGTACAAAAATTTGTACATTTGCATAAAAATTATAACATGTTATTAAAATTTTCCGTCTAATACTCTAATACTATAAAGATATATTCAAGGCAGAAATACTAATTTTTGTAAAAACGCAGAATTTTTTTTAAATATTAGTATAAATAAATATCTGTTTTGTGTGATTTTTTAAAAATACATATAGGTATCTATTAATATAAAAAAGAGGAAACAATATTTAAATTAAAATATTTGCCTCTCGAATTTATCACTTTTTGCCATCTTTCAGGCAATATATGTCGCGACGAAAGAATGCTTCGGAGGCACGATTTATCGTTTACATCAAAATCACTAGTTTTAAATCTTTTAAACCAATCTTGACACGTTATTTCTGACACAATGTTGTTCCCATATATCTCACAAATTTTGGTTGCTTCAGTGGCAGTTTATCGATGAAAATATTGAAGCATGCAATGATAAATATGCACCTTTTTACTTTCATTTTCAATTAAACTAAAAATGTAGTTAATCGTCTAACTGCGAATTATATAGCTTTTGAAATGCAGATTAGTCAACTTTACTAATGGAAAAATGATTGGGCGCAGAAATATATCGTTATAAGCACTATTTAATGTTGCTCGCGGGAACTTATTTATAGTTCTATTATAATATTTCCACTACAAATTGTGTAATTTTACACATATAGCTTATGTAATTTTATTTCTTTATACAGTGTATAACGACAGCGAGAAAATAATGATTAATGTCATCAATTAATCAATGTCAATTGTATCGATTATTTCACTAACGTTTCAACATTTAACAAACTGATTCACTCACGATCTTTATCTCATTATGTGTCAAAAGTATCAGAAACATATTCGTCATTTTCTACCTTACAACAGAGACCGCGCACACGCTTCCGTACGCGTTTCAAATCCCATTGAGAGGGAGGGGGGGGGGGAGTAAAATGAGAGGAAAGCTGACGCGGCGCTTAAATTCAACTAGATTCGATATATCGCCTTTATCCCCATTCATCCCTCCGTTTCGTTTGTCAGGGTTTCGCCAGGAAACTCGTCAAAGAGGAACGTCGTGGGCCAGGCCTCGGAGCGACGCAGCAATGCCGGCGGCCGGCAGCAGCAGTGGATGGTGGCCGTGGAGGATAGCATGCGTCACGGGAACGCGGTTACCACGCAGACCACTCTCGTGAGTACCATTTCGGCTCTCTCTTTCTCTCTCTCTATTTCCTTCCATTCTTCGATGCTCTTCGGTCTCGACGATAACTCGGCTTACTTACGACAAGTCGGATCGGGAAACGTAGGTACGTAACGCAGATTGGCGCCCAGACGCTCGTAATCTCGCGACTTTCTCGTCGGCGCGCGCCGTAACGATACCGGTTTACGAGCCGACCGCGTAAAATCGAAACTACCGCGCTTGATAAGCCGCGATTCGAGGCAGAGGCTTCGATCCACGGAGCCATTGAAGACTCCACCGCGTGATTCCACCGAGAATTGTATACTTTTCACGGAGATAGAATCACGGGAGACGTCTCAATCACTTTATTACGGGCGATTTGTGATGTATATAATAATAGGGTGTTTCGGGGTTTCCTTGACTCTTGAGGCTTTGGACCTGAGATTGTTGCGATAAAAACGTCGAAGCGTCGATAGTTTCGGAGTTGCGAGCGATTAAAAAGACAAAGGGCTTTTGGGCTTTTACTCTTTTAAATAACGAATCCTTATTGCTCGCTTGTGTAAATTGCGAGTAAATTGCTTCGTTAAAGACTGAGAAATAAAATTCACTTAATTAACTCGAAAACCTTGATTACGAAAACAGCTAATATTAGATGTAATATGAAATATCAGAATGGCAAGGAAAGAACGATTTTTTTTTCAAGACAATAAATGCGACGTGCAGTTTGTATGTGGCTTGATATTGTAACAATAAAAATTATTACACACTAACATTCGTGTTGGCTCACATAAGCACTATTTAGTTATTTATGAATTTTTTTAACTCTTAGATCTCACTATGGATATGGCATATCCGACAATTCCTTTTATTCTTTTTATATATTATAATTTTTTATTAATAAAGATACATACGTTTTTTTTTTATCATTTTATTTATTAAGGTCTGACATTTTAATTAAAAAACAAATTTATACTGTTAAATCTATAGTATTAAATTTAACCCTATTTAAGTTGCCATCACTGCTCCTACTTAATATATGGTCATTTTTAAACAAAATTTAAATTTTAAATGAAATTTAACTTGGGTTAAATTTGAACTGTTTTAAATTATTCAACTTCATTGTTTTAATTAAGGCGATCCTAAAGTCGTCTGTTTTATCGATCGAACGCGATTATTTTCCAAAACAAAATAAATATAATTAAAGGCAACAGATTAAAAAATCCTCCACGATTAAAGTATATAGGCATCAATGTAGTTCCGGCTGATAGAAGTTATGCTGAGAACGCAAAAAATTTATGAAATTTAGATCTCCGTTACCTTTTCTTAGTCCAACATGGCGTCTGGAGCTGTCACATGTGCCAATATTTGCTTCGTACAACAATTTGGCAGTTTGTTGGTACAAAATGATACCAGCCGGAACTACGAATTACATGTGCAAACAATGTTGAATTCATAAAATTAGGCTTGGATGCCTAATAAAAAAGATGTGTGTTCTTGAAAATTTGTTACGATGTGTGCGTAAGATATCGATATGGTAGTAAATATGAACACATCACTACACACTACTACATCAATATCGCACGCATACATACTCACAAATCGTCGGTAAAACAGCGAATTTTTGAAGTTTGAGCTCGGGTTTAGGATCCCCTTAAAATTTGATAATGAATTTTATTCCCCCCCCCCCCCTCCAGTTCTGATAACAAATATCACTTCAACTTGAAACTTCTCTGTGATTAATGTCTCATTATAAGATATCATTTGGCATACAATTTAGTTCTAAAATCGAGGGCTCAAAAAACGGACGATTTTTTTTGTCATTCTTTTCTCGTGCGATTTTCCTGTCGTAACCTGATAAATTTCGACAGCCGAAGACCCGCCACCAGCGGCCGTACGGCTGGGAGAACGGGACCGTGGAGTCGTTGCGGTTGGCCCAACCGCCCAGTCCGCCCAGTAAATTCGCCAGCCTGCCGTACGACGGCAAGGTGTCCTTCAACTGGATCCCACCGCGTACGAATCCCAGCGCGGTGGAGAAGCACCGGGAGGTGCGCCGTCGTTCTTCGGAGGACTGCCTGGAGGACGGGGACGGCGCGGGCGGCGGTCGGCAGCGGCAGGGCAGCCCCGAGCTGCGCGCCGTCGTCGGAGCGAGGAAGCAGCAGCGCCAGCAAAACGAGATCATGAAGTCGAGCAGCGTGGAGGATCGCCTGCTGATGAACAGGTCGGACAAGGAGTCGTCGACGCGACGCAGCCGCAACGATTCGGACTCGAGCGAGGGCCGGTTCTCGCGGAACTCCGAGTCCGAGAGCCGGTCCTCGATACCGCGCTCCAGCTCGGTCAGCGTCGAGCGGTTCTCGATGCGCGCCAACTGCGACTCGTCGGACTTCTCGCGCGCCAACTCGACGTCGAACGAGCGCTTTCACTCGGACTTCTCGATCGCGGTGGCGAGCGCGAGCTCCAACGACCACGTGTCCGTGCCGACCTCCGAGCCGTTCTCCATACGCAACCTCGACTTCGTCTCGTTCGCGCTGCCGCGCGCGGACTCGAGCGAGCGCTTCTCTGCGCCCGCGTCCGACCGTTGCTCCGAGGAGCGCTACTCCGACCTGTTCTCCACGCGTAACTCCGACTTCTCCGCGCGTAACTCGGCCGACTTCAGGACGCAGTCGGAGGAGGAGCGCTTCTCCGACGATTCCCTGGAGGAGCTGCTGCCGCCACCGCCGCCCATCAGCAAGAGACACTCCATCGCGTGGGAGGTCTCTCTGGAGGACGATCCTCTGTACGCACCCGGCAGCACCAAGGTTGTCGGCAGGAGACGACGAAAGAGCAGCGATGTGTCAAGTAAGTGGCTTTCGGCTTTTTTTTCTGGCTCCCGTAAAAGGATGATAGAGCAACAAAACTTTTTGTGGTAACGAAAGGATTTATTTGTCACATTTGTTAACATCAGGAGCACCGAGCGGCCGTTATTGATCATCTCTATTTTTTAGAATTTAGATTAATATTATGTAATATTTTTGAATAGTTTTCATCACTTTTTCTTTATTTTCATAGTAATTTATTTCCTAGGTCCTTTTAATGAATAAGAAATGTTGGTACTTCTAGTATTAAGAAGATTAAACAATTTGATAAGAAAAGTTTAAAAAGAATCTTTATAGTCTTTTATTACGCTCGATATCATTTTCTTCAAAAATGCTTTAGCATACCATAATTTTGAAAAATTTGACGTTAAAGTTAAAAGAGGAGCTAATGTAATTTACCACAGCAAAAGTAGCATATTGAAAATTAAATGCATATATTGTTAGAATTTTTAACCTTTAAAAGAAATTTATTGCGAAGATAAAAATTAATAAAATCTTTACAATAAGAGAGAAATATTGTAATAGATCCATATTTAATCACAGAAATATTTTAGCCTTTTTTACGATAAACTTTTTTTCAATAAAAAATTCCAACAATATGCTTTTAATGTTCTATATAAACTTTTCTAAGACATCACATGTTATAATAATAGAAAAATAGATTTCTTAAACAAAAATACTTCTCTTTGAAATAAATGAAATAATCTGTTAATGTAGAATTTATTTATTTAGATATAAAAAATTAATAGCGTAATATTAAAGCTTGGACAAATTATTTGGATAATTTGGTTAATTTATTTTAAATCGAAAAGAATCGTAATTAATCTATTGATGATAATGTTATCTCTGTCATTAAACAGTGTGAGAAGTTCTTACAGAAATTGACATCTTTAGGAGCCCGGTAAAGTATCGTACAATAAAATTTTCTTACAATTTTAATTTGTAATTTTTCTAAATTGTGATATAATCGAATATTTTGAAAAATGGAATATTCTATTTTAAAAAAAATTATGGAAAAAAAAGAGATGGTTATTTTGCGTTTACAAAAATTTATTCTTTGCTGAACTTTAAGTTACATGCATTGCATAGTAAATGATTAAAGAATTCTGTCTTTTGGTAAAAAAATCTTATGTTCCCTCTGATTCTCATGCATTAAAAATTTTCTGATAAGAAATGATGATAAGAAATCTCTGTTGAACGTTACGTATGAAACTATTTTTCCATTTGATTTTCAAAAAAACAAAATTATGAAGAATCAATCATTTTATCCTTATTTCTCTATCTGTTGGTTTGCACGGCATTTGAAAATGAACGGTACAGGAGGGTAAGTAAAGACACGGATGAAATACAGTCAATCGTGTTCCAGGTGTAGGTTCCGCGTCGAAGCTGCGCGACTTCGACGACTGGCAGGATCAACGGCTGTCGACGACTGATGACGATCTGATCTCGCCGTATTCGGACTCGTCCACGAACGACCTCGATCAGATACGGCCGCAGGAGTTCACGAAGAACGGCACCTACGTCATACGGCGCGGCCGCAAGAAGGAGCGTAAGGTACTGCCGAAGACACCGACCAAGACCAAAAGCATGTCCTTCGAGAACAGCGAGGAGGCGGGGGGCCGATTGTCGGACGTGAAACGATACTCGAGCACCTTCGACAACATCAAGAGCCTGCTGAAGGAAGGCAAGCTGGAGGGCCTGAACGAGCCGCCGGCGGAATTCGCGTTGCCGGTACCGCCACCGGATCTGATCCGGGTCGTGTCGATGCCGGCGATCAACAACGACGCCGGCAGTCGGGCCCAGCTGGAGATCACGGTGGAGGAGGAGGAGACGTCCGACATCTCGGACAAGGATAGAGAGCGCGACAACCTCGAGCTACCTCGGCTACCGCCGTCGCCGGTCGAGGATGATCAAGTGGACAATCCCCGTTTGAGTCGATCGAGGGACTGCAACGGCGTCCCGACGGCGCCTAACCTGGCGGATCTGGATCATGTCGGCAGGTCGTCGGCGAACAGCGCGCTGCTTGCCGAGCCCACGGCGAGGAGGAAACTCGCGAGCGCGGTGAGCGACGAGCGGCTGGCGTCCAAGATCCCGGTGAATCTGCTGATCGAAGATCAGATCGTGAAGAAGGCGCTCAAGGAGAATCGCCGGCAGCTGGAGAAGGTGAGCGACGCGATCAAGGAGATCGAGAACGTGAAGAACAGCGAATCCTACTGCGAGAGCAAACGCTGGCGGAACGGCGACCTGAAGCAGAGCTCGAAGCGGAACAGTTTCGACAACGAATTCCCCGCGCCGGTCCATGACGACCGCCGGAAACCAATGACGATCGACGGCAGCCCCTACGACAGGACGCGTGGTAGGCAGCATCAGCAGCAGCAACAATACAGCTCCGACTCCGAGACGTCGAAGGCCAGCTCGGACGCGGACTTCGCGGACCGGAGAAAACTGAACGGCGCGACCGACGTCATCTACTCGTCCGGCAGGCGGTTGCGCCAGAATGGCATCGAGAACCACAAGAACGATCAGAAGCAGATCGAAAACGTGATCGACGCCATTCTGGAGGACTCGAAGAATCCGGAATTCCAGGTAGGAGTGGAATTGGTCAGCTCCGCGCGAGCGCGCAACCCGGTCGAGTAACTCGGATATATCTTGCGAATGTCGAGCCTAGAGACCCTACAAGAAGAGACTCGTCAACTCGCCATATGATTGTTTAATGAACTCTGATTGGCTGCAGGTTCGGATCGCACAACTGTGCTCCGATCAATCAAAATAGAGTATAGTGTGACTTCATGGAGCACAATTGTGCGATCCGACCCCAACCAATCAGAGCTTGACGAGTTGGCGAGTCTTTTCTTACAGGATCTCTAGTCGAGCCCCGAATTGACCACACCAATGACATATACATATAAATAGATCAAGCATTCCTATGCTTTTATACTATAGAGGGGGTGAAGCCGAAAGTTGACAGAATACAACTGAGAGAGATAGTACGATTTGGGGGGATTGCTGTCTCATTTTACCTTACAACAAGATGACGCTGGTGACAATAACAGTTGTTGACATCGGCCAACTTACTGTAAGATAAAATGAGATAGTAATTCCCCCCCACCCCCCCAATGCTATCTCTCTCAGTCGTAATATGCGAACCTTCGGCTTCACGCTGTTAACAGAATGCTTGGTCTATACATATATATTAGAGTGGGCCAAAAAATTCTTTTTTTGATAATCGATTAGTAAAAACTCCCTAAAAGTTAGTTATGGACCTCAATATGGTTTGGGAAAAATTTCATCGAAATTGATTAATATCTTCAGGTTGCCCCTCGACCTTGCAATTAGTAAGTTTATGCATTTCTTTGACACATCTTCACAGATGTGTCAAAATTCGAAAAAATATTTGAATTTCAATACAGTTTAGTATTACCTGTTGTTTTTTGGTCGCTGAACACGAATTCGAGATCAGGAGTATACATTTCAAAATGACGGATCCGAAATATATTCTTAAATAATACATTGAGATTTCTCGAAAAATATGATAAATATGGAAAAATATTTCAAATAAAAATTCTACGGTTCGGGGAGGTACATAAGAGAATATCATTAATTTTATTTTAGGTGACGTCGTTTAGAAAATTAGATCAAGATCATATCGATTTTTTTAAACGGAATTATATTTTTTTTTACATAATACGATTCCTCTAATTATTCTGCATATAAAAGTATTAAGGTAAAGTTATCGAAAAATCAATAGTTTACGAGATATTTTATACTTTATCATGCCATATTTCGATATGTGTATAATATGAAATATCTCGTAAACTATTGATTTCTTGATAATGGTACCTAATATTTTTAGGCACAGAATGAGATGAATCAATTGGTGTAAAGAAAACACACAGTTGCTTTAAAAATTTGTAAGAAATACATAAACTTACTAATTTCAAAGTCGAGAGGCAACCTGAAGATATTAATCGATTTTGATGAAATTCTATCCAGAATATATTGAGGTCCACAGCTAACTTTTGGGGGGGTATTACTAGTCGATTTTCAAAAAAAGAATTTTTCGGCCCACCCTAATATACTATATACATATATGTCGTTGGCCACGCGCGTTACCTATACACTCGTACACTTTTCTGCGTCGCTTAAAATGCCGGCGCGCGAAAAGACGAAGCGGAAGTAGAGAGTCCCTCCGCTTTTATATCGCGAGGGATACCACGGTGCATCTGCGTCGTGAAAAATGCAAGGGTGGAGGATACACGACCGTGTGCTCGGCGCGCGCCGCGACGGTGAAAAGGCGCCGAGCAGCTGAGACCAGGCGGAGGAGGGGGGAGGGGAGGGGGGAGGGAGCGAACCGCCCCATCTATAAATTGGTGGCATTACCTTTATAATATAGGATTCCATTAGCGATGCCCGGTGCTACGACCGCATTTTTCGTCGTGAAATGTGGAGGTATCTAGGAGGCGAACTCCCCCGCGACGCAGCGCGTGCGGCCCGGCTGCCCGTACGCGGATCTGTTTTTTTTTTACTGATTCCCACCGTAATTAATTCCAGCGAAAGGTTTTAATATTTTATCACGTAATGTGTATCACGTGATGTTAGACCAAGTATATATCTACTACCGATATGTCCGATATACTTCGCACAATTCTCATCTGGAACACTTGAAGTAATTACGTTCCCTTCTTTGTAAAGTTTACAAAGTAAGAGCATTAAACATGGATCGGGCATCAGTTGACACAGTTGTGGATAATTTATTATATTTAAATAATTATTATATTTTTCAGCAAATGAAGCACATATCACGAGCTTCTTTAGCATTTGTGTTAGCTTTATCAATCATCAATTGTTTCTTGTTAAGTAATAACAACACATTATTAAGTAATAAAACGTGAGACGTCAATTTCGGTGTATCTTTAAAAGTCCATTCAAAGTTTAATACCTATAAAAATTGCTTTATAGCTTTTACAGAAGACAATAAAAAGAATTATTAGATTTCATGGAAAAAATTAATATTATACTCACATTTTGTAAATAGTTCAATTCGCAACTAGATACAATTGTAGATAATTTTTCTTATTTTATTTAATTAAAACTTAAAAAAATAAAATAGTACTAAAATTGGATAAAATTATCTATAAAATATTCCTTATGATTAATTTTGATAAAATTGCAACTGTAAATATGTTATATTAATTGTTCGGTATATCTTTCTGGGTAAAAGTATGAATATTTATCCTTAGGTAATCCAGAACTGGTGCTCTTATACCCTCGATAAGTGTAATGCACGAGTACATAAATTGTGATCCGTAATTCCTCAAGATGTATCCGATATTTAATTAATAATCGAAAAAAAATTGTGTAGTAAATAATCATTTGATTGCGTTGTCTTCGATCCGCTGAAAGTATCTCTCAAACACAGAGCCGTGAATTACCTCTTGTTGATCCATTACTTCAGCGAAAATATATCTAACGAAATCGCTGAATAGTCATTGAGGTGAATGGCCATTCACGCACGTATCTCCACGAGAGTAGGTACTTTATTGATTCACTGGTTTCTAAGTTCAAGCTGGCTTCCATTGAAAATTTGCATCTACAAACTCTAGAAGCACTTCTGCGTTGATCTGAAATTAAATCTTGACTATCACACGTATCTCGCAATATTGTTAATCTCGCAAAGCACATATTATGAAAAAAAAAGGTTCAGTAATTTATAGGATAAATAGTGATGCCCACTAAGCTGAGTAAAAAATGTAGATTGTTCGAAAAAATCAATTCTGTCAGAGGTAGAAGCGATTTTCAGAGTTGGTAAAGCAGGTGATTTACTTGTTCCTATTTATTGTAAGCGATGTGAAAACAGGGGATTATCTTACACATTTTCACTCTGATGTTTGCAAAAGCTGTGCGAGATTAAATTTTCCGATTTGGAAACTCTTCCGCATAGAGATGTCATGCGCAGCTTCAGTATTTCTATTGATATATCAGTTATATACATATCTGTCACTGCAAAAAGCATATCGTCGACTACTCGTATATTATTGTCAAAAAAAATTTATACGGTTTGATTATTAAACATACTTTCATGCTATTATCGAACATAAAATTACATAACATACCTCGTGAAATGTAAAATTGTTCATAAAATATATCGAAAAGTAATGCATAACTGAAACAAACGTTATTTACTATTTAAGAGACATTTAAAAGCGCTATATGATATTCATTTACAAATCGTCATTTTCGACGTCCATACACTTGTGTTAATAACTTGTGATAATTTATATAAAACACTTGTTTATCATTTCTCTTAAAAAAAAAAAACTATTTTGCTGAAAGATCTAAAATTTAATTGGATACAGATTCGATAATAATTTTTTTTGAAAAAATAATTATGTTGGTGACTCAATATTGATGAGCAATGCTGCAAAAAACTTTGATATTCTAACAACCAGTTTGAGTTTCAAATATAATTCTTTTGATGGTCCAATAAAATTATTTTCAGATTTGCATCCAGCTAAATTTTAGGATCTTTCAATAAAATCGTTCTTTCCGTGCTGATTGTAGTATAAGCGGGCAATAAAATTCAATCTAGAATCACTAATCACCGAATAAATATTCACTTTTCGCAAAATCTAATTGACTTATGGCAGTAAAATGATAAGCTAATCCTTTATAAAATATATTATGGAAGTATAAATATGGAAGTAAAAGAAAACATGTGTTTTTGTAAACATTGAAAATTCAAATTGATCAAATTAAAAAGTCTCCTTATTGTAAGATAATCCTCTTTTATATTACAAATAATAACAAGTTATTTGCTTTACCAACACTAAAAGTTGAATTCAACTTTAATTGTAAAAATCAACGGCTTTTCATCAAGTACATTAAGAAATGTTTATTCATCTTAATGGATACTGTTTGCCCTTATAAAGCTTTTTTTCAGAATTCTGTTTATTGCGTCGAACTTTTGAAATACTATAATGACCGGTAATTTAACTATTCAATCAGCTGTTATTTTAACAAAACATTACTTTGAATAATTAATCTTTTTAAGTTTATCGCAAAAACTGAATCAAGATTGATTCGCAATGAACCAAGTAAATGCTTAGATGGAGAGATAAACCTTTGCATAAATTTGCTTCTCCTTTCGGGAATAAAATCTGAGCATCAGCCACGATTGCGAGCGAGTATACGAGTTTCTGTGAGGAACGAATCTATTTGCTGATGAAATTAATGAAAACTTCTTCTCGATCTTGGGGAAACTGCTTTCGAAATCGCTACGTTCTCAGCTACAATTTAGCTGCACCTCGACAGGTCAGCGTCGACGTGATGGAGTTCCCGCCGTTGCCGCCCTCGCCCGTCGAAGAAGCCGACGAGGAGAGCTGCTCGGACGTCGGCCAGAGCGTCGTGATGACGCCGCCGAAATCCAAGGGTCACAGCAGCAGCCGGACCGTGGAGTACAGGCCGAGGGTGCCACCCCATCGTGTCCCGCCGGTCATCGACCCGAAGGAGCAGGCTTCCTTGAACACCAGGTCCATGGACGCCGGCTTTACCCGGGGTAGACGCACACCGACCACCAATAATTCCAGGCGAGAGGTGAGTTCGTTTGAAATATTCAACCGGGGATATAACGTGTAGACCTTTGGTATCCCAACGGGGATTAACAGTCGTGTTTTTCTCATTTCGGTTCGCGTGCCAATTGTTTATATAACTATTTATTACATGTAGTAGAATAATTATAATGTATGATAAAACATGCTATATTATAATATTATCTTAAAATATTATGTATAGTATATAAAATAATATAATATACTAGGGTGGGCCGAAAAAAAATTTTTTTTGAAAATCGACTAGTAATACCCCCAAAAGTTAGCTGTGGACCTCAATATATTCTGGATAAAATTTCATCAAAATCGATTAATATCTTCAGATTACCCCTCCACTTTGAAATTAGTAAGTTTATGCATTTCTTACAAATTTTTAAAGCAACTGTGTGTTTTCTTTACACTAATTGATTTATCTCATTATTCTCCGCCTAAAAATATAGGTACCATTATCAAGAAATTAATAGTTCACGAGATATTTTATATTATATATCGAAATATGACATGATAAAATATAAAATATCTCGTAAAATATTGATTTTTCGATAACTTTACCTTAATACTTTTATATGCAGAATAATTAAAGGAATCGTATTATGTAGAAAAATATATATAATTTTGTTTAAAAAAAATCGATGTGATCTTGATCTAATCTTAACGACACCACCTAAAATAAAATTAATGATATTTTCTTATGTTCCTCCCCGAGCTGTACAATTTTTATTTGAAACATTTTTCCTTGTCTTTCATATTTTTCGAGAAATCTTAATGTATTATTTAAGAATATATTTTAGATCCGTCATTTTGAAATGTATACTTCTGATCTTAAATTTGTGTTCAGCGACCAAAAAACAATAAACAGATAATACTAAACAGTATTTAAATTCAAATATTTTTCCGAATTTTGACATGAAGAAATGCATAAACGAGGCTCGTTGACTTAAGGTCGATCGTTTCGAATAGTCATTCGATCTGAATACACTCAGATTCACCCTTGTTCCTCTCTCGGTCCCCGTCTCGGTCATTTTCATTATTTCGAGTTTTGACGCGCAAACCGCGGATTTGTACAAAAATTTGTACATTTGATTGAGTGGGGGAAACTCGTCGTCTCTTTTAAGAGTTGTTTCCCACCTTTCTAATACGCTCTTTGGTAGCTTGTTTTCTAAGATGGTGATGACCGTTTCGGGATTGAAAAACCCCAATGTGTTTAGTGATGTCACATGGTGTTGCGCAGCGTCTGCGAGCTTGGATAAATCATTTGTGGATTTTTCAACTAATGTCGGTAGATTTAAGAGCAGCGACAAATGACGTGATATTAGAATCCGCTTTACATCATACCTCGCTTCATACGTCTGTTTGAGTAATTTCCACATCTTATAATTTAGGCATTTTATCGCGAAAATACGTATTTTGCTAGCGGTTTCGCTGGTTAATGTCGATATCAGATAGTATAGCTTGTCTGCATCGGACAGATCGGTCTGTGGTCCTATCATGCTACTAAATGCGTTTTTGAATGACAATCAGTTCTCATGTTTGCCGTCGAACGGTAACGACGCCTTAGGTAATTCAATTAGTTGTTTCTTAATCAATGTCGCGGGTCCGATATCATCGGTACGCGTCTCACCGATCAAAGCGCTGGTACTTGCTTCCGAAACGTTGGACGGGTTGTAAGATGTTCTCGACACGACCCGTGAGAGCGTTATATAGTTCTTGTTTCTCGACGCGACCCGTGAGAGCGTTACATAATTCTTGTATGTTCGCGAATTCGGTTTGACGTACTTCATTCGGATCTAGTGCCGCGAGAAAGTCATTAATATACTCTTCAAATGCGTGATACGATTCGTTTAAACGATTCATTCTTAATTTTGATGATGCGTCATCCACTATGCCTTTGTCGAGGATATTACTCAAATCCGTAACTTGGGATTCAATGTCCGTTTCTGTGTAAGTATGTAGAGAGTGGCTCTCGTGCTGTATCCCATCGCTCTCGAAGATTCGCACTCGTAGATTTTGGAAGAGGATTGTCTCTGTTGATTACGCGCAGGTCGTACGACCTCACAGGAGGCACGAAAATGTTTTATATTAGGAGGGATAACTCTAATACCCCCACTGTTTTTCTGCACATAGATAGTTTATTCACATTATAGCTCTATTGTAAAGCGCGTCTATCACGACGACGCTCGAAGAGGTCGGTACGAACCGCGTTGTCAACGAATATCACTGAAAGACAGTGAATTTCAGTTCTTAAAACTGTTTGACAGTGAAAAACTCTCGTAAAAAAGAACTACTAGTGCAGTGATAATACTACTGAAATGTATAGTGTTTTTACTGCACTAGTAGTTCTTTTTTTACTAGGGAACTCACTGTCTTTTAGTGATATTCACTGTTTGAATCAATATATTATCATTAAAAGAACATTTGAATGCTCACTATTTATCACACTTCTAAGTACGCTTACTCGGTTGAGGCGTAAGGGGTCGAACCGACCGCCACACTTTTATACTTCTCGACTTTTATCGAAACTCGCGCATAGTCGATCCGTTTGTTTTTACATACGCCCACGTATTACGGTATACTGCAAGTACGTGACGCACTGTCAAAGTTTAGAGTCCGAATTAATCAAAGCGAGCACGCGAAAAAGTGTAGCGAAAAGTTCGCGGATAGGTGCGTGACGTGTGTGTCGTCGCGATGCACTACGGTCCGCTTGGTACTGTAAGTTTGGAGCGTTTTTCGATCAATTGGTAGAAATTCTTTCTTCTGATTGGTCAAATTATGTTTCGGTGGATGAGTCCATTAGTAATATCAAATGGGCGCACCCTTCATTAAATTTTAAAACTTCTCGCGAAACGCGAGCGACAGGGTGCCACAGTTTTCACAATAATGCCACGAAATAAACGCAACGCGGTTTATTATTAATGTCGTCCCCGTGATGGTCGTAACCATCGATTTCGCGAAGAGCTATTATTTAGATTTAAAACATATTTCAAACAATAGGTGTAACGACAAGTAATATATATTTTTAACTTGAAGAAATTGAGGCTTGTATAATGAATAATTATAAATAGCTCAATAATGCCTTCGCGAGCCGACACGTTGGTGTGTAATAATTTTTATTGTTATGATATATCAAGCCACATACAAACTGTGCAGATCGGAAGAGCACACGTCGGTCTTGAAACACAGTTCTTACATGAAGCCAGAAGCCAGAATGTAACGAATTAAATTACATGTCAAACAATTTAATATGTTTGATGCTAATAAGCATCTATAAGAATTTCCTCCC